TTCTGGAAAAGGTTGAGAACTAAAATATGATCCCATTTGGGATGTTACTCAGGCAAAAAAAAAAGTTTTCAAGGCTGTTAGTTAATAAGCAGGAGCATTTTGGACAGCACCAGTCCCTGGAGCAGATAGTGCTTGTGGCAAGCGCCAAAGGAGCTGAGCCCAGGGTTTGATCATCAAGGCCAAGGCCTAAATCGCATTTCTCAGATCATGCTTTGGCTTGGGGAAGGGTGGACGGGCTCTTCCCCGAGTGTGTCCACTGATGCTTCACGAAATCTGAGCTGCTCCAAAACCTCTTTCCTCGTTTCCCACACCTGTAAGGCCATTCCCCATGTGCTGGTAGGCAGCGAAGGCAGAGGGAGGTGTCCCTGCCACAGCGCCTGAGCTGCTGCTTGTGCAGGTGCTCCTGTCCATGAACCTCACCTGCTCAGGGTCCTTCAGGGAGTGGCACTCGGCCTTTCCCACCCTCTGAACACCCCTCTGTGGGCAGAGGCAGGTCAGTGGCACCTCAACCCCCAGCAACCCCCTGCGCCCCACAGCAGGTTGGGGGCTCAAGAGGCCACCCCTGCCCCCTTTCTCACACCCCGCTCTGCCATGTGCCCGCCACAGCACCGGCTGCTGGGTGGGGGGAACCCCCCAATGGATGGAGGGCTGGGAAACCCCCAGAGTGGGTCTACCCCCTCAGAGCCCCCGGAACCACTCTGGGGATTAAGTGATGAGGAACACGAAGGAACACCCATAAGAGCATGTTTGCACTGACCCACCACCTCTTATATCCCCTCTCCCACCCCTGTCGCATCCTCCTCTACAGCCCCAGTTCCCCTCCGATCAGTTTGGGGGTGGCCTACCCTCTCTCTTGCTCCTTTTGGGGATCCCTCCCATATTTCCCCCCTCTTCCCCCATTTTCCCATCATGTCCCCCACTGACCTGAGAGCTCCTGGCCCACAGCCAAAGGGATAGAGGAGGAGAAAGCGGGAGGAGGAAGAGGAGAGGGGAGAGGAGGTATCTCATGCATTCACCATTCACTGCAACTGCAGCCCCTCCGCCCCAGGAGGATTGGCCCCTCACATCCCTCCGGTGCCCAGGGACAGGGAGCTTGTCTCAGGTATCTTGGGCAGTCCCCAGGAGCGTTGTTTTTGGGGGGCATCCTGTGGCTGCTGCCGGCAATTGCCCGGGGCTGGCCAGGGGTGTGGCACGCTGGTTTGGGGACTCCCCAGGAGAGCCGAATGTGGGAAAGCCTGGGACCCCTGGAGAGGGGAAAATGGAAATGGGCGACACTGGAACTGTGGGACCTCTGGCAGACTGGAGGTGGGGGTAACATGGATCGGGGAGAGCCCCGGGTACCCCGGAACTCGGAATGGGGGGCCGGGAGAGGAGGGAGCCCAACAGCTCAGGGGGACACAGAGCTCCCTGAAGTGTAGGCTGGGAAAAGGGGGAGTCTGAAGAGGGACAATTCCTGGGACTGCCAGCAGGCTTCAGACAGGGAACCCCTAATACATGTGGGACCTTCAGCAGCTCAGGCAGGGGGAGCCCCAAGAACCTCAAAGCAGAGAGATCAGAGATGGGTTTTGGGCTGAATCTTGGTGTTTTGAAAATCTCTGTGGGCACCAGATGCCCAGTGACTTCTAGAGATAGACTTGGGCAGGAGGAACTGCCAACCCAACAAGCTCACACCTTGTTTACCCTCCCAAAAAAGGATTTCTTATTCCAAAATTTGGCCAGATGGAGGAGGAGGCTGCAAGGAAGAGGAATGTAGGAATGCAACCAGCTAGGATGAATAGTGGTTTAGCCTCAGTGGCATATACAGGAGGCATCAACCCTAGACCATGGGAAACAGGATACTGAAAGAGAGCTATCTGGTCAGGTCATGGTGAGAAGAGTGTGGTCATGGGAGTTAGTATGTTGATGGTATGTTAATGGAACTATTCTGCATTAAGTCATGTTCTTGTTCTCAGTTGGTTCAGGATCTGTCACATGTAAGGTCATGTTCCGAGTTCATGCTGCTGATTGGACCCCTGCCCTCAGAGTACCCCTATATATTGTTATTGTTATCCCTGCTCCATCACTGGATCTTAACCCTTAGATCCTGTGGTTTCTGTGTTTGTTATTTTGTTGGTAAAGTGCTCTATTTTTCAGGCAAATCCATTGTTCCCGTCCCTCTATTTTGCCACATTGTCCCCAGCTGGACTGGACCCGGGGCTGCAGTGAGCCTGACTGCGATAGAGGAAGATGGCCCAGGACACCCAGGCAAGTCAGGAGGAAGTCACTGCCCCTTTCCCCTGCTCTATCTTTTAGCTGAAAATTGCCCTGGACTGCAGGACAACCCCTCTGCTGATGCTGTTCTGTTGGGGACGGATTGAAGGATCTCCTTCCCCTTCCCTCTGCCATGGAGGAAAACACCATCCTCTCCTTGTCCTTCCGCCCCCAGGCACTGAGCTGTGGACAGAGACCAGGGAGAACAAATCCCTGCCACAGAACCTTGTGAAAGAGGCCGTTTGGAATGGCTCCATGGCATGGGAATCCAATGGGAAGGAAAAGCCCCAGAGATCCCACACGAGGAGGGGCTGCAAACCCAGCCTGGGGAGCTGAGAGGAGGAAAGACCCTCCCTGTGCTTGGAAGGCAGCCAGAACTTCAGCCAGAGCTCTGACCTGGGGGTCCGGCAGCATATTCACACCAAAGAGAAACCCTCATCCACCCATGGGTGCACACAGGGAAGTGGCCCTGAGCATGAGGAATGTGGGAAGCGCTTCACTCAGAGCTCCACCCTGATCCTCCACCAGAAGATCCACACAGGGAAATGGCTCTGTAGGTGTTTGGAATGTGGGAAGAGCTTCAGTGACCGCTCTCACCGCCCCAGCCACCAGAAGGTCCCTACTGGGGAATGGCCCTGTGAGCGTCCCAAGTGGGAAGAGCTTCAACTGGAGCTCCCACCTCATCACCCAGAGCGATGCCTTGACCTCACACCACTGGTCCCACGTGTAAGGGAAGCCCTGCAAGTGCCCTGACTGCAGGAAGAGCTTTGTCCAACTTTGTCACCCATCAGAGGACAAATATTGGATGATCCATGGTGACCCCCATTGGGCAGAGACCCAGTGGTCTACACTGGAAAAAGATATGTTGACCAATTTTCCTGCTGAACCACATTGGGCAGAGACCTGTTTACCCACATTCCAAGTGATCCACATTGGGAAGACAACTGGCTAGTGATGTCCACATCCTCCTTGTTCCCCACAGGCACCCTGATGAATGCAGGGGAAGGAACATCCATTAGAATGCAGACCAATAATGGAAATTCATTGGGCAGAGCAGTCTTGTTGACTTTAGACCCCAAAAAATCTCACCAGCAGCCACCACTCATTTTCTTCATCAAGCAAAACTGGATGATCTTTAAGGTCTTTTGCAACCAAGAGGTCTTTTTAATTCAATTGTTCTAATTCCCTATGGCCCACAGGCATCTTCCACAGACAAGTGGTGATGGATTGGTGCAAACACCAAACTATTCAAATCAAAGGCTGCAAAAAGGGCTCTTCCCACCCAAACAGCCCAGCTACAGAGATACTCACAGGACACCAACACGCAAATCCTTCTGTTTGGGCCTTCGTTTTCTTTTGAGCCATTTTAATCTCTTACAAACAGATGAAATTGGGGCTAAAACAAAGGAATTAAACAAAGATCTTCAAACACCAACTATTTCAATTTGATTTAAAGGAGAATTTGGGATTAAGGGGTTAATCAGGAGGGTTTGGGGATTTTTATGGAGCTTTGGGGTTGTTTTCCTCAAAAAAAGGGCTGCTCATGCCAGGTGATTGGGGTGTGCCAACAGTATGTGTCCCTGTACTGCAGTACCTGAGCCCATCTCTTCTCCAGTAATTCCAGCTGGGTGTTCCAGTAGTGGGCCTGGGTGTTCCCATATGGGGTATCCCCTCAAAGTGCCCAAAGCACTGTTGAAGTGCTGGAGCTGCTTTAGGTTATAGATGTTCTTGTCCATGAACCTCACCCACTCAGGGCCGTTCAGGAAGTGACTCTGGCCTTCTCCCATCCACAGGAACACCACTGTGCAGGCAAGGGGAGGCACCCCCTACCCCCACCACCCCACATCAGGCTGGAAGCTCAGGGGGCCACTCTGGACTCCCCTTTCCAGCCCCCAGTCTGCCCCATTGCCGCTGCAGCACCAGCTGCTGTGTGAGGGAAGTCCCCATTTGCTCCTGAGGGATGGACAGGGGGATTGGGTGTGGATCTCACTCCCTGTCAGAGCGCCAGGGAATCGCTGCAGAGATCAATGACGGGGGACGCGAAGGGTCCCGCACTGGGAACCCTTTTCCCACTGTCCCACCTTCCCTTATGTGTCCTCACAAACATCTTTCAGTTCCCCCACCCCGCCTCCCTGCTCAACCCAGAGCCGGGGGGGCTCCCAGCGCCACCAGTGCCACCAGCAGGGCCCCGGCTGCCGCCCCGTGGCCGGGGCCGGGCAGGGAGCAGCAGCCCCAAAGCAGCCGCGCTGCGCTGGGAGCGCCAGTCCGGAGCGGTTTGGAGTGCGGGGGCATCAGCCGTGCCCGGGCAGGGCCGGGCCCCGCCTCAGCCGCCCCCTGCATGTGGGGACAGCTCGGGGGGCCCTCCACGTGTTCCCTTCCCAAATTCCCTGGCAGGGAGCGCTGGGGGTGGGGGCCACAGCTGGAGCCCCGGCTGAGCGCTGCGGGTCTGTGGGACACTGCCAGCACCGAGTGCTCTGCTGGGCTGGGCGCTGCCTGAGGGACTGGGCTGCAGCAAGGGCGGACACCCTGCTACAGGGGGGATGTCCAGGGACCCTCAGAGGCCTCTACCAATGCCCTCCGGCGGGCTGACCCTGACTGGGTGCAAGGTGCCACCAAAACTGCTTTGTCCCTGCCCTCTGCACATGGACAGGGGAGAGAAAATAAAAGGAAAGGCCCAGGAATTGAGATAAGCACCAGGAGGGATTGCTCCCCAAACACTGTCACAGGCAAAACAGACTCACCCTGGGGAAAGGACCTCAATTTATTACCAACCAAATCAGAGCAGGATAATGCACCTTGTTCCTCCTCCTGCTGCTCTGGGACAGAGGCTGGGAGTCCTTCCCCTGTCCCAGCGTGGGTCCCCACAGGTCCTTCCAGCCAAGCTGTTCCAGCGTGGGCTCCTGTGCCCAGGGATCCACAGGGCCCCGCACGGAGGCTGCTCCAGCACGGGCTTCCCACGGGCTCACATCCTTCTTTCCAGGCATCCCCCATTCCAGCACAGGCTCCTCCAGGGGCTGCAGGAAGCTCCGGCACCTGGAGCAGCTCCTGCCCCTCCTTCTGCCCTGCCCTGGGAGTCTGCAGAGCTGTTCCTTTCACATGCTCCCACTCTGCTCTGCACCTGATTCCACCTGCACAAGAACTTTTTCCTTCCTGAATCCATTATCCCTGGGGTGTCGCTGCCATCTCCTATGGGCTTAGCGTTGGTGAGTTGTGGATCTGTACAGAAGCTGGTGCTGGCTTTGCTGGACATGGGGAAATTCCTGACAGCTTCTCATAAAAGCTACCCCTGTAGCCCCCTCCTTCCAAAACCTGGCCACACGAGCCCAGTACACCTGGAACATGGATCAGCACGTCTCGGCCCAGCGAGGGTCACTGTGAATCATCCAGTGTGGGTCCTCTGATGGGTGATGAAGTTGGAGCAGCAGATGAAGACCTTCTCACAGTCAGGGCATTCTCAGGGTGTTGTGGGGCGTCCACAATGAGCCTCTGTGAACGACTGGCACTCCCAGAGCCCAGAGCTTGCTTAAACTGCTAACGAACAGTCTTTGTGTGGAGGTCCAAATCTGGTTTATTGCCATGAAGAGGGTCCAAGGACAGACGGCTGAGGAGAGGGTTTTATATGGGGGTGAGAAAGAGGCAGATCCGAGGGTCAAGGGCCAATGGGAACTGAGTACAAGTGGCACAGAAGAGGGGCAGCAAACTGGGAACCAATGAGGTAACCAGGGGCAGAGCACCACAGTAAACCGGGACCACAGGGGACAAGAGAGGGGAGAACATTCTAGGGGCAGTACCTACAAAGAAAAGAGGGCAGTTGAAACTGGGTGATACCAATAAAGCCTGTTGCATTAACATGAGCCTGGAAATGCCTATGGGTGAGACCACTGTATTCCGAGGGAGTCTCTCTTGGACCCTCGTCACCTTTGCCCTTCCAGGGCAATGGGGGGCCCCTGGGCCCCCACAGCAGGGCTTCCCTTACAAGTGGGACTGTTGGTGTTGGGTCAAGCCAGAGCTGCTGGAGAAGCTCTTCCCACACTCCCCACACTCGTAGGGCTTCTCCCTGGTGTGGGTGCGCCGGTGCAGGGTGAGGTGGGAGTTGCGCTTGAAGCCCTTCCCGCAGTCGGGGCAGCGGAAGGGCCTCTCGTCTGTGTGAGTGCGCTGATGCAGGAGGAGATGGGAGCTGGTCCGAAACCTCTTTGCACACTCAGGACACTCATAGAGCCGTTGTCCACTGTGGATCTTCTGATGCTGGATCAGGTCAGACCTGATGCTGAAGCTCTTCCCACACTCCCAACACTCAAAGGGCCGTACCCTGGAGTGCAGGCGCTGGTGGGTGAGGAGGTTGGAGCGGTCACTGAAGCTTTTCCCACATTCCTTGCAGGTGTAGGGCCGTTCCCCTGTGTGAATTACCCGATGGCGGATCAGACAGGAGCTCCGGCCAAAGGTCTTCCCACATTCCAAGCATTCATAGGGGCGCTCCCCTGTGTGGATCATCTGGTGCCGGAGGAGGTGGAAGCTCCGGCTGAAGCTCTTCCCACACTCCAAGCATTTGTGGGACTTCTCCCCCACGTCAGGCTTCTTCACCAGCTCTGAGCTCTGGCTGAAGCTCTGGCCACCTTCCTGGCACAGGGGGTCTCTTTCCTCCTTGGAGCACCCTGGGCTGGGCTTGCAGCCCCTCCTTGTGCGGGATCTCTGGGGCTTCTCTTCCCCATTGGCTTCCTGTGCTGTGGAGGTGCTCAAAACAGCCTCTTCTGCAATGCTCTGCCAGGGGGATTTCTCCTCCTTGATCTCTACCTTCAGCTCGGTGCCTGGGGGAGGAAGGACAAGGAGAGGATGGGATTTGCCTCCATGCCAGAGAGAAGGGGAAGGAGATCCCCCCATCCATCCCTGGCAGGATGGCGCTGGCAGTGGGGCTGTCCTGCAGCTGGGAGCCATGCTGGGCTGGGAGATGGAACAGAAATGAGGGTGAAACAGGAAGTGACTTCCTCCTCACCTGCCTGGCTGTCCTGGAGCATCTTCCTCTTCCTTGCAGCCTCCTCCTCCAATCCTTAGGAATGATGAATCCTGGTTTTGGGGGAAAACAATGTGTGAGTGTGCTGGAGGTTCCTCCTGCCCAAGTCCATCTCTAGAAATCACCAAGTGTCTTGTGTCCATGAAAACCTCTGAAACACCATGATGCAGAAGAAAAACCCCCTCCAAAATATTAAGATTCAGCACAGGAGTCCTCCAAGATTCCCCCGTCTCTGGTCTCTCCATTTCGAGGTCCTGGAGGTCTTCCCTCTCCTGGGTCCTGCTTAGGGTTGCTGGAAGTTTTAGCGGCCCTAGGGGTCCCTTCTCCTCCGAGTCTCTGTTTCGGCTGCTGGGGGTCCCAGGGCTCCCACTCTTCAGCCTCGCCCCACTCCACGACGCCGGGGACGTCCCCCCTCCCAGTCACCCGATTCTGGATCGACGGAATCCTGCCCTCCCCGTTAACTCTGTGCTTCCTCCTTTCTGCTCTCCCGGGGCTATTCCAAACACGCATCGCCCTCTCCAGTGTCCCACGGCAGGGACAGCCAGAACCGGCGTCCCCTGCCCCGGCCGGGCGATCTCCAGCTGGGTGCGAGACCCCGCATGCTGCCCTGGGCCCTGCCGATAGGCACGGCCGGGATTCCCCCGAACAAACCGGGGGCGCCCCAGATATGGGGCCCGCTCCCCTCCCTCCCTCCCCGGACACCTGCAGGCCGCGGCGGGGCAGACGCTCCGCGGGCCCGGAGGGCTGCGGACACACGGCGCGGTGGACACGCCAATTTCCTCCTCCTCTTCCTCTCCCGCTTTCTGCTGCTTGTTCTTCTTCTCCTTCGCAGATCAGACAGCTACAGAAGCTGACCTCCTGGCCCTGCTACATCAAGAACAAAAATGAACACCCCCTCCTCCTCGTCGTCTTTCAGCTTCTGCTCCTTTTCCGGCTCCTGCTCCTCCTCTTCCTCTTCCCTTGCGCCGCCATCGGCTGCGGGGCGGGGTCGGGACGCGGTAAGAAGGGAGAAGGTGGTACGGGAGGTGGGTCAGCCCGAGCCGAGATGGGGGGAGCTGGGATTTGGGGGACGATGGGGACGGAGCGGACAGGGAAGATGAAGGCACAGCGGGAAGGGGTTCCCAAAGAGGTCCCTTCACAGGTCCCTTCCGTAATCCTGAGGGGCTCCCTGCGGCTCTGGGGGAAGCGGATCCTCCCTGGGGGGTTCCCCGCACCCAGCAGCCGGGAATGGGAAAGGGGGCTCCGGCACGGCCTCCTGGGCCCCCGGCCGGCTGTGGCGGGGGCACACCATGACCCGTGTCCCTGCCCACAGAGCGGGGGGCCAGCGGACGGGACAGGCCAAGGGCCACTTCCAGAACGGCATTCCAGAGCAGAGCTGGACAGGAACAGCTCGGGCACTCCGAGCTGCACACACAGCTCTGCATCATCCCATGCTGATTCTTGTCTACGTCTCACCCAGCTCTGCAAATTCTCTTCTTCCATCTGCATTCATCACCCACCAGCACCGGCACACGGGGAATAGCCTTACAAGTGTGAGGAATGTGGGAAAAGGGTTCCGAGCATCTCAGATCTCATGAAACATCAGTGGACACACTTGGGAAAATCTCTCCCCAGCCCCCCCATCTATCAGGCGACACTGTGATCTGAGAAACACTTGTTTAGGCCTTGGCCTTGACAAGCAGCCCCTGGGCGCAGCTCCTCTGGAGTTTATCACCAACATTGTCTGTTCCAGGGACTGGTGCTGTCCAACGACCTCCAGCAGCCTTGAAAACTTTTTTTTTTGCCTGAGTAACATCCCAAATGGGATCATATTTTAGTTCTCAACCTTTTCCAGAAAGTCACCAGCCTGAGCTTGGGCCAGGATGGACAATGTCTGTGAATAAAGCCCATCCCTTGGGCCCTATAAACAGCAGCCCTGAGTGAGTGAGTTACAGTACAAGCTGGCTTGTCCTGGGCAATTTCACCCAGTCACACCTGCACCCCAAGCTGCAGACATCTCACTGCTCAGAGAACTGAGAGGTGTTAAGATCAGACCAATGAGTGGTTTAGACTGGGGCATTTTCAAACCCCCTGTATGAAGCTGGGTTCAAACAATAAAGCTCTCTCTATTGTTGCCACTTGCAGCTCTGGAGTGTGTCTCTGTCTCTGAGCACCGGCTCCACGTTACCCCCTTGCAGCTCTGCTGGGCTGCAGTAGCTGCGACAGCGACCTCCGTGCGCTGGGGCCTCTGTGAGCTGGGAACCCTCCTGTTTGCTGCCCCTGGGGCACCTTGAATGGTGCTGGGCTGAGCCCCCCGCTCCTCCTCGAGGCTCTGCCCTGCTCCTGGTGGGAAGATTCGGGCCTGTGGGTATGTTCCTGTTGTGGTGTAATAAATTCTGTGTGAAGTTAGTGATTAAGTTTCAGTTAAGTGCTATTGGGCCTTTAAGCCTAAACTGTTGAAATCCAGGCTCAGTTCTGCACAGGTGTCAACTCTAACCCTTGTGACTCAGCAGTGGGGTCTTCCATATTCCTTTTCATCCTTACCCTCTTCTGGTTTTTTCCCCTCACCCCTTCCTCCCCCAGAACCTCCTAAACTACATAAATGGTTTTGAGTTTATTTCACTTTGGATTGATTGATTTTGGATTGTTGTTTCATTTTTCTTGGTGTGCTTTAGCCAGGCAATCTTCTCCTCCTCTATCCCTGCTTCTCCATCCCTTCTCCTCTTCTCCCCAGGCCCAGCACCCACCCTTGGTCTCCTGTGCCCCCCAAACCCACGGCAGGGGCAGGGATGGAGCTGGGGCAGGTCGGGCTGGGGCAGCGCTGGGCTCTCGGCCGCTCCCGCCCGCACTCGGTCCCCACTGCAGCCGCTCCCGCCAGGGCAGTGTGGGGGGCCAGGCTGGACGCCCTCCATCTTCCCCCTCCTCCAATTCCCCTCCTGGGGGGCGCTGAAGGTGAGTGGGGGTTCGGGTGGGGTTCACGTGGGGAGTGTTGGGCACTGTGGGCCTGCCTGGCAACTGGTGAGGCATCGGCCAAACCCCTGCAGAACTGGGGGATACCCTGCAACCCCTTCAGGAACGGGGACCCCTGGGCCTCATCATTGCCAGCCTTCAGCTGTCTCATTTCAGACCCCATCCAACCCCTCCTAATCCCCATCCCACCCCTCCCAATCCCTATCCCATCTGCCCCAGTCCATATCCCACCCCTCTGGATTCACATCCCACCCCTCCCCATCCCCTTCCTTCCCCTCCAGGGTTTGGAGCGCTGTGGGATTGAATACTTTTGGGGTGGTATCGAGTCATTTTGAGGTGGGATCAAGCCATTTTTGGCTGGGATGGAGACACTTTCAGTGGCATTGAGTGGTTTTGAGGTGATGGATAGAACCCCTCACCTTTTGGGGTGCAAAGTAATGGAGGAAACTCCTCCAAATTCCCTCAAAAATCCCAAATCCTCCTGAATATCCCCCAGACTAGAAATTCCTCCCCCAGTCCCTGTAAAATGGTGGGGTTTTACACATCTCTGACAAGGTTCTTTATTTTTACCCAATTTTGGGTGTTTTTAAAGGATAGATCACAAGAAAATCAAGGCCAAAATTAAAGAATTTACATGTCAGCATTGTTTGAGTATCCGTGGGTTTGGGTTGGGTCGGATTGGGTTGGGTGGGTGAAAGAGCTTTTTTTGGAGGGGTTCCCACAAAATTGTCTCCAAAATCTTGGTCCCTGCCAGTGCTGGATTACCATGTCTGTGACCAGCTTGACTCACCAGGCTGATTCAAGTCCCAGCATGGTCACCGTAGATAACACAATGTGGGTTCTCTAACGGGTGAGCTTGGAGCAGCGCACAAAGCTCTCCCTGCAGGCAGGGCACTCACAGGGCTTCCCTTACCTGTGAGACTGTTGGTGTTGGGTCAAGGCAGAGCTGCAGCAGCTCCTCCCACCCTGGGGACACTCACAGAGCCTCCTCCTGGTGTGGATGTTCGGGTGGCAGATCAGGAACAGTCACTAAAGCTCTTTCCACACTCCCTGCACATGTAGGGCTGTTCCCCAGTGTGGGTGCTCTGGTGGCAGACCAGGCAGGTGCCTCACCTGAAGCTCTCCCTGCATTCCAAGCGTATGTAGGGCCGTTCCCTAGCATGGACAGTGCTGGTAGATCAGATGGAAGAGGGGGCTGAATCTCTTTCTGCATTCCAAGTACGGGGGGTAGGGCCATTCCTCCTGTGGATCTTCTGTTGGCACTTCAGGCTGAAGCTCTGGATAAAGCTCTTCCCACATTCCAAACACTTCCAGGGCTGTTCCCTGTGTGGATCTTCTGGGGGCAGCCTGGCTGGAGCTCTGAGTGAAGCTCTTCCCACTCAATTCCTCACACTCATAGGGCCACGTGCACCCAGTGGTGGATGAGGAGGTTGGAGCTGTTGCTGAAGCTCTTCCCACATTCCAATAAGCCCTTGTAGGATTTGTCCCCATCATGAAGCATCTGGTCAACCACCAGGTCAGCTGCCTTC